AATGACAAAATTAAGAGACAAATCATTTTCCTTTTCCAAACATTTTTAATTTGTATATTTAATGCTCGTTGAAAAGGACATTCACTTAAGAGTTTTTACAGATTTATTTTTGCTTAACTTATTGCTTAAAAGTTGAAAAGCAAAAAAAACATTAATAATATGTTTTTAAAAAAATTTGAAAAAAAATCTTACAGTTTGATTAATGATGACGTGATATTATAAGTTTAAACATTTTAAGGCAAACTTCACTTTACCCTTTTATGATTTGGGTTGGGTGTGGATTACCTCCCTGACATTCAGACCTCCATATGGTTTGTGGACTAAAACACACATTAATTTCTATTAATAGAATGTGTAAATTTACCTTTATATCCCATCTTCTTCCTCTTCTCTCTTTTAAATTAAACCTGCAAATACACATACGTACATATATATATATATATATATATATATAAACACACACCTATTTTCTTTCTTCTTCCTTACATCCTACCAACTCTAACAAATTTCATTCCAACTTGTACAAGAAATCCAAGCGGCACACACATTTCCACACCAAAAAACCAGTCACTCATTCTCGCCATCAACAATAAATGTATATATATTATCCAATCATTCAATATTCTACAAATCAATTTAAAATCTAAATACCAAATTCCTAAAATCATTCCCAGTAGTTATTCATTATATTGGCACAAATCATTCAAAGTAGCTATTCCTAAAAAAAATAAACAAATAAATAAAATAAAATAAATTTTGTGAATATATACTTTTTCATCCTAAAAGACTCTTTATCTCTTCCATCACTACTCAACAATCCAAATTTCATTCATATATGCATATATAATGTAAATATATACATAGAACCTAAGGTCCCTTCTAAAGGTAGATCTCGTTGGTCAGTGGATATTAATTTTTAGCTTCAAAAAATTTTGATTGATGCAAACCCAATATTTTTCTTCCAAGCTTTATTATTTTTCTTATTAACTTGAAGTGGCCATGGAGTTGTAGAGAAGGACCTGGGTATGCCTATGTGAATGGAAGGGAAATCTAAAGAGAGGGAAGATTGGTGAGGGAAGAGGAAGTTGGTATGGTACAGTGTGTTGGAGTTATGAAATATAAAGATAACAGTAATGATTCAGGCCCCCACAAAACATCATTCCTACAACCCCCACTCACTTGTGCTTGGTCCAAATAAGGAAGAGGAAAAAAAAAAAAAGATAATACAAACACATCATTAGTCCACATCACTATGAGGGTGGTGGGGGTCTTCCCAAAAGGGGGTCCTAAACATTTTCCCAAAGATAAATAGTCCACAAATCATATGGGGGTTATGTGATGATTTCCCAATATCAGAGGGGGTAATCCGCACCTGGTCCAAACTAACGCTGTGTTTGGTTGGAGGATTTGAGGAGAGAATTGGAAAGGAAAAGGAAAAAATTAGATGAAATATAAATAAAATATACTTACATTTCACCTAGTTTCACACACCTTTTCCCTTTCATTTTCCAAATCTCTCTCTAAATCCCCCAACCAAACACAACATAAGGGGGATAAAGTGAAGTTTGCCTAACATTTTATTTGTTATATAGCCTAACTCTTTTGTCACCTAAGGCCATGTTTGTTTGGTTTTTGGGGAGGGAGATTAGACTAATAGTCTGTGAGATCTACTAAAGAGTGTTTGGTTAGGGAGATAAGCGAAAGGATTAACTATTACCTTGGATTAGGGGTAGGTATCAGCTTGCTGGTCTGCCTAGCTCAGCTCCTATGTTTTTAAGGTTTGAAAACATTATTTTAACCTATAAAGCTGGACTGAGTTTTTTTTTTAACTCGATTAATTAAAGGGCTGAGTTTAGAAAATCTCACTCTGGCCGGCCAGGTCCGCACATATTTAATTTATATATTACACTGTCAGATACATTTTGTTAAAATAGGATCCTTCTACAATGCAAAACTCCTATTTATGAACTTCATTTTTTATTTTTCTATTTCAAGAAAAAAGAGCACTGAAATATATACATTTTGCAAATATTATTATTGAACTCTCCAGAGTACATTGTTGCTATGAAATATGTTTGGTTTAAAAAACTTTTCAATGTTTTAATTATTGGAGGGATTCTATTTACGCCTCAAAAATTATTAAGTACTTTTAATTTTAAAGTACATTCTATTTAATTATTTAAAATTTTATTTTACTCTCATTACATCTTATTATTTTTTTCAAATTATTCTCAAGGTAAACTCAAATAATAAATAATAAACAAACTAAAAAAACTAAATTATTTCAAAAAATTTTTAATACAGAAAATAATTCTTAAATACATAAAAAAAAACCAAACTTACAAGCACATAAGTATTATAAATACAGAAAAAAAACCAAACTTTTAAAAAAGCATTATAAAACTTTTCAATACAGGAAAAAAAAAAAACTTATGCTATAAATTATACACAAGAATACTCGTGGAAAAGTAAAAACCAAACTTTTAAGCACATAAGCATCATGCACTAACAATAAAATGCAATTTTTTAAATGACAAAATAAAAACAACTTCAATAATATGTTATTGTTAATCTAACTAATGGACCCTTAATTTTTTCTCAAAAAAACGATATAGAAAATAATGGGTAAATTACAAATGCACCCCATGAGGTTTGCTGAAAATACGAATTGCCTCCTGTGATTTGGAAAATTACAAATATCTCCCTGTCAGAATTTTTTATTTAACAGAATTAATTAAAAAAATAAAATTTCTAATTGTTCACATATACAATAATAAAATTATTTGAATTATTAATTGAAATAAAATTTTAACATTATTAAAAACTCTTAATCAACTTGGTGATTTATTAATAAAATGACATATTTGTTATGAAATTAGAAACCTTGGAGGCATAATATAATTTCTAGAACTACAAGGGTAATTTGTAATTTAAGTAAATTTCAGGGGATGTATTTGTAATTTACCCGAAAATAATTGATGGTGCTATACAAAAATTGTAAAACCACTTTATATGAATACTTATCTCTTTTTTGATGGGTTGCTTCAAAAAACTATTTTAATTATTACTCTCATTCATGATTTGATTTTATTCAAATTTTCTTCTAGGATTTAGGGTTTTAAAATAATAAAAAAAATAATGATGTTGATGATGATGGTGAGTTTTGGTAGGGTAGATTGGAGTTTTGGAGAGAGGATGGAGAAGAAGTAGAAGAAGTAGAAGAAGTAACTTTGATCTCTTAGAGAAGAAGACACAAAGATTTGAATAGGAATAACTAATTATGGTGTACCATGAGAAGAAGAAAAAAAATTATTTTATGGTTTAATATGTGTTATCCTTATTAGTAAATTCATATTAGGATATAATAGAAATTAAAATTTATGAATTTAAATTGGGCGTAGTAAGACATATTTTGGGTTCAAATAGAATCCCCTTTATAATTGCTAGTTACTTTATAGGCTTTTGTTTATTTATGAAAAGTGTTTAGCCATTTATTTTTATTTTTATTTTTTTAATAGCTTATGTATATGGTCTGATGAGCGAGCTTGGAAATTATAATTTATTTAGGACTGGACTTGGGATAATTGTATAGGTTTGATGTTTGGATTGTGTGGGCTTAAGTAGACATAAAGTCCCTTATTAGGTAATACCGAGTCGACCTAGTGAATGACCACCTTAGGACTAGTAGTCTCCCATTAGCAGGACTATCAATCCCACGGAGGGTTGGGATTAGAAATTAAGAAATTTTTGAGTAAAATTTATATTTTTTTGAATAAAAAATAATTATAATATTAAAAAATACTAAAAATTTAAAAATATTAATTTTATATATTAATACTATGTATAGTATTACTAATTTCATGGTGTACAAATAAGCACTATTTATTCTATATCTCTAAAATTTTCTCATTTAATCCCACTGCATTTTAATCTCATCTATTTTATGGAGTCAAACAAATGTGACCTGAGAGAAATTGTGAGTCAAAATACTCAAAAGACAAAACAAAACAAAACAAGCATGGTATACTCAACTCGATTAATAAAAGGATATTTTTTTTTAAGGATCTTTAAGATCATCTCCAATGGTTACTCTCAAATCTGTTATCAAATTTGAATTTGTTGAAAAATAACTCATTTTCTTACTCCAATGGTTTCATTGAACATATATCAAATTCAGGATTTCATTTTCTTTCATCAAATTGAGGACCAATGTGTTTTTCATTATATCATAATTCACAACTGTTTGATTTTTACCACCGAATGTCCAACAGATGACCATCTCAAGGTAAAAATTTGTGAAAAAATTACACTGACCGATCGACCAGCCGAACATATGCCTGTCGATCGGTATTCTGATGATGTTTTAAAAACCTCAAATAAAACTTTTACTTAAATTTAGGCTTCATTTGGAAACATACTATTTTAGTAACTTTTTGATTTGTTGGCAAAAATATGGGGTAAAAAAATTAGTATATTTGGAATGACTATTTGATTTTTTACGAAAAAATGCTCAAAAAGTAGAGAGAAAAAGAAATATTTACCTTTTTAATATAAGTTGTAAATTTTTTAATAGTTTTTAAAATAAAACAGACATACCAAACAATTTTTTAATTTTTAAAGTAAAAAAGACATACCAAACGAGACCTGAACCAAAAAAAAAAAAAAAAAATGTCAATTCGAAGATCTACTTTAATTTCCAAACATAAAATTTAGCCTGTGTTTGGCAAGTGGGTTTGCAGGTTTTTTTGGCTGTTTTAGCCACAAAAAACAAAATAGGCTATTTTAGCCATAACAAACAAAACATCACATCCAACCCATAATCATTACATTCTTCTCTCACAAAAAAACTCAAAAAAACTAAAAAAACAAAAAATTTTTCCCAAATTAAATTTTTAAGCCCAAACTAAAATAACCAAAAAAAATTAAAAAACCATCCCACGTCCAAAGGGAGGCTAAAGATGTTCGAAGCAAAACTATAACATCATAAGGGTTCTAGTGGGTACTAGATTTGTGGGCCCAGCAAAGTTTCTCATCTGAAATCTCTTTTGAGAAAAAGTTTTAAAACCCTAGCAGCCAAGCCAACTAGGGTTTAAGAAAGCCCTAAAACTCGCTCCCGATTTCTCTGCTTCTCTCACATATATATACTTTTGACTCAGTTCACTCCAAAACCATGAGGTTTGTCTTCAAAACCCTAATTTCATTGCTCCAAGATGGTGGGTTTTTTACGAGATCCCACCATTGAAGAAGAGGACCTCAATCAACAGCAACCTTTGAAGCTCGAGAACTCGGACGACCCACTTCCTCTTGACTTCTCTTTTTCCGAGCTTGACGATTTCTCTTTGTCCTTTGTCGATTCAATTCTTGATTTTGACTCTTTAATGGATTTGATTCAAGAAAATCCTGTTCTGGAAATGGATGATTCGAAGCCAGCAGACACAGAAAAGGTTGATTCAGTGAAGATGGATGATAAGGGGATGATGGATAAAGATGGGTCTTGTGGAGAAACGAATTTTGGAGATGGGTTTCAGAAATTGGGGGATTTGGGCTCTTCGATTGAGGAAGATATTGGGAAGGTTAGTTTGGATGGTTTGGTTGTTGCGGAGTCAGGTGTGATGAGTGATCAACCAGCGAGTGTTGGTGGGAATGGTGCGAAGAGCGTTGAAATAGTGGGTGTTGATGAGAATGGTGTAAAGAGTAGTGAAACATTGGGTATCATCAACGAAAGTGGCTGCAAGAGTGCTGAAATTGTCACTATAGACGGAGATGGCCCGAAGAGTGATGAAACAGAGAGTGATGGACATGAGAGTGGTAGCAGTGAAGATACAGATAGTTCGAGTTCATCGGCATCATCATCATCTTCTTCTTCAAGTAGTGAAGAGGAAGATGATGAAGATGAGGACGAGGGGGAGGGGACTGAGGAACAGAAAAAAGAGGGAGAGATTGATATTGAAGAAGGTGAGATAAGGGATTCTGAGGTGGTGGCTTGGAGTGAGGATGAGGATGATGAAGAGGATGGCAGTGTTACGAAAGGGCCTATTAGATCCAAAAACGAGCTTGAGGTAATTGATGGGTCATTGTTAATTACTTTATTTGCTCTCCAATTGGTTAATGACTGATTAAAGCATTTCAGAGGCCATTTATCAATTTCATGCACATATCTGATTGTTGATTGTAAATATTAGTCTCGATATTGCTGAAAGTATGTAGCTAGGCACTCTGATACTCCTGAGATGGACTTGTTTTTGAGGACTACTGATTTTTTTTTGATTTAAGGAAGAAGCATGACTGTACCTTATAGGTTATACACAAGATGTTCAGAACTTCAGTAATATTTACAGAATCACACTCATGATTTTCAGAGTAAAGCTTCAAATGTTGGTTTAGTGGATAATGTGGGATTCAACTAAATCGAACTTCACTGCATCAGCAAATACAATATTTTATTATAAAAGTAAAACATTGAGAGGAATCTTAAATTGCATATATAATGCCTACTTCTGGATGCAAACTTGCAGTTGTTGTAACACATTTACCTATATAGTATGGAAAACAAAATATTGAGATGATTTTAAGTTCTAGCTGAAATTTAATGTTAAACAATATGCAAGAATTTTAGTTCTTTGATGGTATCATTTTGAGTGTTTGTGAGGTTCTTGATATTAGATATACAGACATATTTTATTTTTAACTGGTAAATATGCTTTAGAATTTCTATTTAGCACAAATGTTTTGCAGTTTCAGGGAGCATTGCAACTGATAACTGATAATTTATGTTGTATGAAATGTCCAATATAAGAACTGTTTACCATTCAGAAATAATTATATCTCTAGAAATGATCACATGTTTCAAAATGACAGCTTCAAGATGTAACAATTCTCAGCAAGAGGTATATATGTTATACATTTAAAAGCACTGTTTATTGTTCTGAATAACATATAATACACAAAAAGCATATAATACACACACATGCCTGCATTGATGAAATCTTGATGTCTGCCTACTCGTCGCGGTCTCTAGTCAGTTTTGCTGATTATTTTTAGAAATTTCCAACATCTATTTGCATTGTTGTATGTTTTCAGTTAATTTTGAATAATTAATGCTAAATCAATAGAAATATGTTTTATTGGTTTATGTATCAATTAGGAGGCGATTATGGAAAATAATTAGAGCTAATGGATAGGTGAAAACTGTGTGGAGGTGATTCTGCAGTGGTGTTATTGCTGTTAACATGTTAAATCACAAGATTATATATATATATATATGTATGTGTGTGTGTGCGTGCACGCGCGCATTGTTGAAATGACCTTGTTGGCAAGAGGTTCCATTGTTTAGGAGGTCAGATGGCGTGGACATGACTTAACATTTGCTTAACTAAGGCAGGGTTCACATTAATGAAGATTTGTCAATGATAGCAGGCTGATCACGAGGGATCTTTTGATGTGAGATGAGTAATAGATGGCTATGATACCTGAACCCGGGCTTTAATATCGGGTGTTGGGGGTGTGTCCAAGTGTCAAACCTCCCTGGCCTGAATCTTAAATCGAAGATATATGGATATGTATTTAAAAGTTGGATATGGGTATACGGATACATCCTGAAATTTTAAATTTATTGTATGTTGTAACTTGTATTATATCCTTAATTTAGGGAGAAATGATGATTTCTGTCTGTGGCCATGTGAGAGACTTGATTTTTCTTTACTATTAATTGTGGGTTTCTTCTTCTTCAAATACTGAATAAAAGAGTCCATTCAACACTGGCGGATGGTGTGTGTATATTTTTTTAACTCATGGATGTGCTGTGTGCAGTTGTTTCTCAAGTCATTTGTTGGATTAGCCAATTACCTTTTTTTTAAAAAAAAATTAATTTATTTTTGTTGGTTGGTATTTTTTTCTTCTTCGGGTTCTTTTTTTTTTTTAATCTGTACCAACTGACATCCAAATTCTCTTCCCGTGCTATACTTTTTCACCATTACATGCATGACCAAAGCCAAGAAGTAATTCTAACTTCTCTAGCATCTTCTTATATCCTTGGTTGATCTCAAAGGTTCTCAACTCATCATAATACACAGAATCTGCCAACTTAAGATTTAGATTAATTGCACTCTAGATGTTCTTGTGACCATACTCCAGTTCCAACATGTCAAAAATATCTGTTGATTTGTCTCATCTATTAAGGCATGAGGCTTTGCTTGAGATAATTTAGGTTATGTAAATTCTGTTACTCGTGAAAATCAAAGAAAGTGCTCTTGCATGGCAAGTTGTTTTTTGTTGGATGTATAAATTACACGGGCATTAATAGATGTGTATGAACAACATTCTTTCTTTTTCCCAGATAAAGTGACAAGTAGAGGGGCCTCTGTATCAGTGGATATTAAAGGATCTATATGTGTGGTATTTTTGTTAATACATTTTGAGGCTATTAAATTGCTTTTTGTAATTATTTTTCAGGTTCTCCCTCCGGTTCCTCCAGTGAACGTGACCTTGCAACCACACCATCAGATCCTGCCAGTAGGGGTTATTTTATCGGTAAGCTCACAGAAACCATGTACCAAAGCCCAAACAGAACAGAACTTCCAATACTCACACACGCACACATTGGGTGCTAGAGGTCACCAGCTCCAAAACGTCATATTTAGCTGAATTACTTAAATGATTTCGTCTCCAATCATACAGATCGTTGGCACCCAAGTCATCGTGGAAGGTGTAGAGAAGCACAACCCTCTTAATGAGGGTTCCATCCTTTGGATAACAGAAAGCCGATCCCCGTTAGGGCTGGTGGATGAAATTTTTGGTCCTGTCAAGAACCCTTACTACATAATAAGATACAATTCAGAAAATGAAGTCCCTGCCGGAGTTGAACAAGGCACTTCAATCTCATTTGTACGGGAATTTGCCCAACATGTCCTCAATGACAGCAGTCTTTACAAGAAAGGGTATGATGCATCCGGTGAAAATGATGAAGAGCTATCAGAAGAAGCTGAGTTTTCAGATGATGAAAAGGAGGCTGAATACAAGAGAATGCTAAAGATGACGAAGAGAGGCTCAAATGACCCTAAAGTTGGGAATAATAGGAAAAAGGATAGGAAGAAGTTTAAAAATCATGGCGGGACATGGCAGAAAAGTCGGCCTTCAACCCCACAAACACAAGAGGGGGTTTGCCAGCCACCAACCAACCAAAACAAGCGTTGTGCCCCACGTCCTGCAGCATCACTGGATAATGGTAGTTGCTCATACTCTTTTGGCACAGGCCAACAAGGTTTTTCTAGTAGCCCCAGCTTGGTTCCACCATTTCCACAACTGGTTCAGGCCCCGGGTTTTATTCCGACTTCCAGTGGAGTTTGGACAAATGGAATGATGCCATGTGAGCAGCAGCAGCAGAACATGGTTTTTCATAATGGAGTTCCAACAAATGGTATGCCGTGGATGCAACAGAATCAGTTTCAGCAATCCTATCAGATGCCTTTGCCGAACAGAATGCCATTTCAGCAGCAAATGCAGTTTGTTCCGAGCCAGAGTTTACCTCCTAATATGGTTTTCCCTGCTGCACAACCAAACTTCTGTGCAGGACCTGCATTTGCACCTTGGCCTGGGAGTTTGGGTCAAAGTGGTGGCTTCAACCAACCATCTGGGATGGGCTTGCAGTGCCAACAAGCTCCCATATCCAGGAATGTGGGAGAACAACCACGTCAACCTTCCATGTCCATAAATGTGGGAGAACAACAGCGTCAGGCTCCTATGTCCATGAATGTGGGACAACCTCGTCCTCTTATCCCAGGTAACATTGAAGTTTCTCAGCCTCAACAATTTAATCAAGGCGTGCATCGTGGTCGTGGCAGTAAACCTTATCACCACAGAGGCGGTGGTCGCTTTGGAAGTGGGAGAGGCCGGAACCAATCAAAGTGATTGTTTTGGAGGTGACAGAGGCCGGCAGGAATCGTAGTGAATTACGGGGTTATACCGTGCTTTGCTTACTCCTTTTCTTAATGAATTTACTCTCTCTCTCTCTCTCTCTCTCTCTCTCTCTCTTTCTTCTTCTTTTTCTTTTCTTTTCTTTTCTTTTCTTTTTTTTTTTGGAATGGAATTGTGGATAAATTTACAATACTCTGAAAGGAGGTGTAAGAATTTTGAAATTTTGGTTTACTTACATTATCTTCTCCTGGCAGGAGCTTTGTGCATTAAGTTGTTGGTTTAATATTTATCACGCTTTAAAAAAAATAATAAAAAATAAATATTTTTTTGCGCATCTTCTATTTAATACCTCAGTGTGTGTGTTTAAATAAAATGTGGGGTAGATTTGAGTCGTTTATTTGATGAAAGTAGTGGGAAATTTTTTTTCGAAGTTTTGAAAATATAGGAGAATTTTGTTACTATGTTGCTCACTGTTTGTATTTGTTGCTGCAATAACTGATTTTCGAAAGCAATTTTAGATGGGAGTAAAAAAAAACTTTGAGAGCTTTGCCTGAGACTAAAAAAGGCATGGCACATCCGGAGGATAAAATGGGAACTCACAGAGTGGGATATCTGATTCATCAAATGGGATTATTTTAGTTCAATTTCACCCCTCCTCATCCATGAATCAAACAAGGCGCTAGGTGTTGCGGAAGAATTTTATTCTTCTTCCTACTTGTTTCTTGTACCATTTTCCTTTTTCAAGTGAGGGAAGTGCACATACACTATATATTATCAATTAGGGTTCATGATTTATTACATTTTACTATCCAATCGTTTAATGTCTTCATTTAATCTCCTAAATATACAATCTGTTACACTTTAATCTCCAACTTAAACATCATTCAAAGTCAATAATGAGGAGAGATTTTTTGAATGACATTTGAATTGTCACAATTATAATGAGGCAGCTTCAATTTGCTTTTGCATGCCTATCTTTTTCTTGGTTCACACCATTTGTGTCAATTGATCATGAACTACCATACAAAAATTAAATATTCATATATCAACTATTGAATAGAAATTGTTCAAATATCAAGTACCAACCTAAGTTTTCATTCAGTAGTGATATCCGAATAATCAATTTTTATTCAATAATTGTTATCCTAATGATAAAATGATGTGAACTAAAAAGTTTTGTAGTGTGTAAATAGAAGCTAAAATGTAGGGCTCCACAACCATTCAATGCCAGTGCTTGAAAAGGATTCAACCAATTGGGACCCAGGTTTGTCATCTGATTAGCATTTTACATTTATCACTTGTATGATTTATAGTATATCACTACCCACCCTCTATTTCCAAATATTCCATCCCATCAAAGCATAGAGCTTTGGACAATATGTCCATCTCTGCTTAGTTGTACAAACCCCACTAGAATGCAAGAATGCAAAATTTGTCTCCGATGATAGGTTCAAGCTAAGCTATTTGAACTTCAAAATTGGTGCCATCTTCACAAAAACAAAAACAAAAACAAAAACAAAAACAAAAACAAAAACAAAAACAAAAACAAAACTGGAAACAGCTCATTCTAAGCACTGAATTTTAATAAAGAGAATAATAAATTACTGAATTTTGCTAGTTCTAAACCAGTCAACTGTGAATTCAAGTACAATTTTAGAGAGCTTCAGTGAAGCATTCTGTAATTGTTGAATGGGGCTTTAAATTGAAGTAACAATTGGAAGAAGGAAGAACCCACCCAAAATAGAAGGAGCATTTGGACTAAAAAACACTGTTTTGGAGACTCTTTTAAGTTTTCGCATTCCTAGTGAAGTCAATGCAAGTCTGGCAGTTGCAATCTGAAAAACGACAGATCTCACATCCAAAACACACGCATGAGGTGCAACCTCTGCATGTTGGAGATCGGGCACAGCCCCTATACACCCTGCGACTAGCTCGTTCCTCATCATCATCACAATTTGATCTGTAAAACACGAAGCAATTAACCATGTGAACCCATAATTTAAACTATGAACACATGTAAATAATAATATGCTAGCATTAGGATGGTTAAATAAGTAGTAATGCACATATATTAGACAGGTTTTTTGTTATTTGAACTTCCATATGTGTTTACAGTACTGGTGAGATTGCACAGTAACTTCAGGAAGAATTTAATACAATTGTTTCTATGATGAAGCTTTAATATTGAATTATATATGTTGGTAAATTGTGTTTTGACTCAATAACCGCAAAAAAATTGCAATAAAAGAACTTGTGAACACACAGGTGCTTCTTGCTTTTGTGGAGTAGCTAAAATAGGTTACTTCAGAAAAGTCTGTGATACATAGGTCTCTCTTCTTTTACGTTTTGATTTTTATGCTAGAAAATTGAAGTGGGAACTGAGAAATTCCCAGAATTTATCAGAATAATGGGGGTTTCAGTTGCCCATATTTTTCAGGATTTAAAAAATCTCATCAGTCCAAAGAATTAGATTTAACTCCTATGCGACCTGAACTTTCAATCTCTTGGGATTTTCATTGATTGAGAGTTCAAATTCTCCACATTCTGAAACTTGCAGGAGTTTCAACTCCTAGGAAATGAACGATCCTTACAGATATTTTCAATTCAATCATTTTCAGTTAAAAATGTTCATAGACTTGAGAACACAGATCATTCTAGTTTCCATAACAAGATATTCTTCCTTGCACCAATCACTTTAATACTGAAAGTCTGTTAAAAGTGACATAAGTAAATTGCAGTTAAAAACAATATTCAACTATTTTATTGGCTTCAGTAGCCAGCCAGGTGAGCAGACATTAGCAGGTCATCAAGTAGATGAATATAAATTGTGTAGCCTATGGAGCAGCCGATAAGATTGCCAAGGAAAGTTATTATGTTTACGATCAGAGAATTTGGCAGCTTGATCTATAAAACAATTTGAAGGTCCTAAAAGATCATTATTAAGGCAGACATCCACTTGGTCTCTTTACCCTAGACGTTTCATAAGTTAAGATTCATTTTCATGTACTTGTATAAGTACAGACCTACAGAAGAACATGTCAACTCTTGGCATATGAATGATTCACAATAGTAACCACAGTTATTCTGACAAGAATCGGGAAACATCTATATGTGCAACATTACACCATACTTCATTTTTGATTGCTTTATCATAAAGGAAACAACCGTCACACGATACTTTACAACCCTTCTTAAATCACTAGCTGATATGTTCTCAGCGATTTGCATCACAAAAACTAAACATTTTCTGCATATTCTATACCATGTCTTTGTCATGAAAAATATAATAGTTATACCATACCACCAAAGATCCAAAAGCTAACCAAACCAAACTAAGCCTGGTGTCCCAACAGCCGAGGTCATATCATTTTTCACCATTCTGCTCTGCTCAATGATCATATCTCTGTATTCATAATCACCTTATCTCTCTAGATGTGAGTTCATCATTAGTATCATTCTCCCCAAAGCCAAAAAGGTGAGTTTTTACCAGCCTGAGTGTTTTGTCACACTGCACTACTTAGTCACATGGTGGCACTACTGCCTCTGACATCACCCAATAGATTCCAAAGTTAAACATTATTCAAGATAGGATCATGCCAGCCAACTGATATTTTAGACAACAGAAATGATACATGAGAGGCATGTCAGTATCTAAACTCTAAAGTCACTTGAGCAGTTGCCAAGCTCCAATAAGTCCTAATATTTCAATGTCTTTACAACCAATCAAACTAAGCTTACTTTCCATATTTAAATTCCTTCAGCTCATGACACACTTAAACAAGCTTCATGTATTTAAAAAGATAAGTCAGCATCAACTAGTACATATATATAGATACTTTGTCATGCCAATAATATCAATCCAACTACGCTGTCTTTCATAATTAAAAATCTGACAAACACTTAAAACAACTTTCATGTACCTGAAGATAAAACAACATCTACTTTAATATTTCTATGCTTAGTCTTGTCAAAATATCAATCTCTCATTGAGTGGATAACAAAAGGCACAAAAAATTCTTTACTTATATGGTAAAACAAGGAAATTGAAATATATGAAATATCAAAAGGTTCATTTATTCCAATAAAAATTGAAAAATCATATGAGTTGTGGTTATGTTGTAATTATGACTAAGAAAGGTTATAAACTTGCATCATAATTTAAGTTGTTAGGCAATTGTTGAAATCACTAGGAGGAAAGAATTCAAGAAACACATTCACGGAGATACTGGAAAGACATTTCCCTCGCATGCCAAAAAACCCTTTACCATCACTTTTCCCCAGTAGGCCAAGAGGTGAAAGTGTTCATGCCTAAGAAGGGCCCAACACCAGGTCAAAGATGAAATCTCAATGTTACTAACACGGTTTGCATTATGTGCTGTTGCCAAGATATCTGAAGGGTTCAATCCATGACGTACATTTCCTTGAAAATTCAAGGAAATCAACAATGCTACTAAATTTTCAAATTATCTAGACAGTACTAAATATCGGCTTTGGTGGTTTCCACAAATATAGATACATTATAATTGATAAGTGATATTTCTAAAGAGTCAAATAAATGTAAATATCCAAGTACTAAGACCATTCTAAAATTAGAATGAAATGACTATTTCCAAATACTGCAAGCTCATCAGAGCTGGGTAAATGAAAAGGCTAAAATTATGTTACTAAGGCATATATAAGCTGTAAGAAGCATATCTTTAGAGAATCAGGCATCTCATCAACAACATAAGTTGCCTCAATAATTCAAGCTGCGTACAGCACAAAAAATTAAAGGCATGTCAGGTTGGTGTACTAGAGTCATCAATCTTTGCATACAGCTAGGCAGGATGATAAGTTATAATGTCAATGGACAATCACAATAATAAAGCCCTGTTTTTTAGGAGAATAACCATATGAAATGGGAATGTTTAATGAGTCAGGCACATTCTGATTGCTCAACAACAACAAATCAATCTGTTGTACCAATGTGAGGATTATTACGCAATTCAACAGTCCAATACCAGTCAAGTAATCTTAGGCTGAAAGACTGTGGACTAAAGAGTGTACATGTTGATCATACATTTTATTTTATCTATAAAATGCCATGGTGAAGCACACAAATTTAATAATTCACCTTGCCACTCACAAGAAAAAGAATCATTTTTGTTATTATTTTCATTTTAATGATAAGCTAGCCTATAGAAACCTCACAAATCATCAACATCTACCACCCATAAATCTTAATAAACAAAAATAAGTTCATCAATGAAACTACTTTATAAGTATACCTTGAGGCTTGAACTAAGAAACTTGAGACCACATAGTCTGGTATATTGATGGTTGTTACCTCAAAAAATCACAATAAAGAAAAAAGGAAAAAAATATAAAAGAAGAACACTACAAGGCCCCGTATTCACAGCGCCATCTTGACTAAACTGCAAATGTTGAATCCTCAACAATCAATTTGTTAAAAGAACAGCTACAAGCAACATGAGAAGTGAATATAGCAACTTGCTAAAAATAGTATGAATCTGTGATAGACCAGTGTGAGGAAGAACTAATTCATTCTTTGTATCCATACAAAGGATATGCAATTATGATAGTTGTTTTCTGCACTCTTAACGGAAGCCATGCCCGCATCAAAGGTCTATTGAGGATGGAAGTATAGCAATGGAAGACCATATATCATGGATACAACTCTCTATATAATAACACCAAAAGCTTTCTACACTTCATATTGACACCAACAAATATAGGCAGTCAACATCCTCATCAATATCTACCAAAGTTCAATTTGTAGGATGGAAAACAAACTTTGGTAGCACGTTCAAAAATTCTTAAAAGGCCTTCCGTGCCAAAGACAAAAAGGTATTCAACATGCACCTCTAAGAATATTTAAGCATGCATTCATTCAGATAAGCAAGTACAAGGCTACGTACTTGTCATATGGCATATCATCGCATGTCCAATTCACATCTGCCAGGGCATCATGATAAATCCTGCACTCCTCTTTGTTGCGGAGACGAAACCTGCGCTCTCTGCCACACCTACTGCAGCGAACAAACTCATCACGATGACAAACTCGCCCATTATGTGATCTGTGAGATCCATTGGCACCTTTGGATGCTTGATTGTAATATTTAAGCAGTGGTGTCTTAAACAAAGGAACCTTCTCCCCACTAAGAATGACCCAAACATTATTCTTCCATTTCCTAGCTGTTTCTCGTCCAGAATGCTTCTCAAATGCAGCAGGGGTCATCTTGTCTAATCAATCATTAAAAAGAAAATCAAACACACACGAAAACGAAAACATTGCAAATAAACAAACTAATAAGTAAGCTTAAAGGTAACATATTAAATAAATAAGAGAAAACAATTAAATAACAAAACTAATAGACCACAAAGAAAACAATGGATTCAAAACCCCCATGTAATCCTATGCTTCTATTGTTCAATAACCACATGTGACTAACACCTAAGAACGACAGACATCAACACATGACACTGATTTTCAAAAAACTAGAATATGGACACAACAAGGATATGGGGATACATTCAAAAAATTATAATTTTAATATATCTTATTTATTATTCATATGAACATAAATTTAGGACATAAAAATGAGAGGGCTCAAAGCATATATGAGTGTATATTTGTTTTTGCTTTTTTTTTTTCTTTCTAATTTTTCCCTACCTGTTTTCATATATTTTAATTTAACCATTAGTCAATTTTCTAAAATTATATTAAAAAAAGGGTGTCATGAGGAGTGTCTAGCACAAGACGTGTTTGTGAAGTGTCCCCAATATGTTCTACAATAAAATATTAAGTAAAAAAACTGACGTGCCACATGGCATGTTGGACAAGTGTAACGGCACCATGTCGGTGTCCAAAACATGTCGGACACAGGCACAGCACCTATCTTGTTGTGCTTGTGCTTCTTTTGCCAACACTAAATGCTAACTTCGTCATGAATGCTTAAAGAGAAATAAATCGCATAACAAAGCATCAAGTCTAGGGATATCAATTTTTTCCTACCCCACTCTACCCCTACATCCCTCGCCCCACCCATGCAAGTTTTTCCCGCCTTCAGGAAGCGGGGAGGAGTGGGTTTTCCTCCCCCGCCCCCCACTCTGATTACATTTATTAAATATATAAATAATATATAATTTTAAATATAATAAGACTTAAATACTAAAATGTTACACTATTTTCACTTCTTTATTTTTTATCTTACATCTTTGTACTCATTTCACTTATAAATCATTATACATAATATACTGTGTCATTTTTCATTTTTTTTAGTACCGCCATTCTTAATGTTACAAAATTAACCCACCCCACCTCCCCAATTTGCCACACTCCCAATATGGTACAAGATTGGGGTAGGGGCACTGCAAACCCGTCCCCGCCCCGTTCCGTTGTCAAACCTAGTTGAGGCCAATGTTTTCTAACTAAAGCAATGGATACCACCAGAAAATAACCGGAGAGCATACACTAGTATCAGCTAAAAGAATTTTTTTTTTCATAGGTAAAACAAGGATGTTCAAACTTGAGCCTCTTTATCGTGAAGAACAAAATGCTTTGTTTAAAAAGTGTCCCAACACAACACTGAAGGCTCACATTTGAGAAATTGGAAAGACCATCACGGGGCTAATTCATTATTTCACTACTCCACTACAACTTTCCAACCATCCACCGGCCACCAGGTAACTTTCTGATTATTACATTTTGCAAACTTGTCTGAATCGAAATCATCGCATCCTAATTAATAAGTATGAGAGGAAATGCTCCCCCTTGTTGTGTAACCCAAGTACACAGTTTGATCCCCAGCAAATGATTCTCAATTGTATGAATCATCAATCATGAATTAGCTGTCAGTCAACAACACTAATGATGCCGTATCATTGTAGGCAAGAAGAACATGTCATAGTGGAAACCAATGTAGAAAAACAAAACATGCTTTTATGATTAATACAAAGACTAGACTTATTCAAACAGGAAGAACAGAACTCTAGTACTAAAAGTCAAAACATTAGGCACCGAAGCCGACAAATGATTGAATTGCGCCAAACATAGTTTTCATCATTGTACATAAGAGCCACTCTGAAAAGAATCACCAAATCAAGAAAAACGCCATGGTTTAACTCAAACAACAACATCAAAAGCAAGAGATGTATAGCTGCACCATTTTGTTGAATGTTATTAAAGAAAACTGGTTCACATAGACAAATCAACATACACTTGACGTGTGTGAAAGAAAAATGGAAGTAAATCTCCAAATGCGATTCAAAGTCATGAATAAAGGAATCACATTCGATCGTAAAGCAGACTAGACAATACAGAGTGGCGAAGTATCAACTTCAAAACCAGTCTATACATATATATATAAATGATGAGAACTACATGCATCGAAGAGAGAGAGAGAGAGACCTTCCTGACAACCAGGGGTGCATTCGCAGGTGATTTCGAGATCGCCAGTGACGAAAACCCTAAGCCTCCCAACAGCATCACCATACCTATGGCTGGTACAACCACACGTCACCTCCACGTAATCATCTCCTCTCTTCAACCCACTTATCTCTCTCACCTCCTCTTCACTGAACACCACAACATCCACAGCCGCACCGCTCTCTCTCTCTACACCATTCTCCATTGTCTCTCTCTCTCTCTCTCTCCCTCTCTCTAAAACCTGTTATCGCAACCCAAAAATAAGAAAAAAAACCAACAAAAGTCTCAGATAGAAATCGAACCAAAACTCGGTATAAAAAAGAAAAAAACGAAGAAAATCAAATACGCTAAATGGGTATGCAGAGACTCGAGTGATACAATATGAGGATATCTATCAATATATATAGGTCTATAAATGAAAGGTTTAGAGAGAGAGAGAGAGAGAGAGACCCAGAAAAGCAGAAAAGAGAGGGAGGGAAATATCCTCAACAAGCACGCATCTCCCAAGGCTGAGCCCGAGAGATCTGGTGGAGAAAACGTTGAAAAGATGGAGCTGTAGAGAGAGAAAGTGTTAGAGAGAGAGAGACGTTTTGGTTTTGGTTCGGTGATGGGTGTTGAATGAATGAGCTGGCTAAGAGGGGGCGGAAACAAAAAAATGTCGAGAAGGGGAGGGGTTGAGAGAGAGATAGAGAGAGAGAAAGAGAGAGGAGCTCTTATTTTTTTAGTGGAAGGGAGGTAGCATTTGAGAGGTCTGATTTTGGGAAAAATGATTGGGTGTCCATGGTACCATGATAATGATGTGTTTTAGATATATGGTTAAGAATTAATTTTTAAATTTTATTTGTAAAAAATGTTGAGAAATAATATAATTTAAAATAAATTAAAAAGTTAAAAATTAACTTTTAGACATGCTTCTGCATTGGTTAATTATATTTATTGTATTATATTATGATAGATACAAATTTGTTATTATATATATATATATATATATATAAATTGATGTGGTTGGCTTTATTGATATTTTTTCGTTTGTGGGTTTTATGGGAAAAATCCCTCTCATGGGAAGAGGACGAGGTTTTCGAAAACCATCCATTCTCTCTCTATTTCTTTTACCAAGTACTTTTACAGGTTGTACTACTATCCCCTTTTCATCAACTTTTTTTTTTTTTTTTTTTTTTTTTTTTTTTCATTACTGTTTGCAGTGTTGTCTGTGTGTGTCCCCAGGTGTGGAGCACTTATAAATATTTGACAATGTCGCAAATGCATTTTTGTGTATGCATTTGAAACGTTGTTAATTTGTCGTAATAGAAATGTACAGAGGCAGAGACGAGGTGTTGGGGAACCGGGTTAGAGACAATGGTGATGATGAAGCACAAAGCAAAGCATCATTGTTGATAATAATGTTGTGCTGGCTTTTCTAGTTCTGTCTTGCAATTGCTGTAAATTGCGACAATCAGTCAATCAAAACTTGCATATTTATTCCAACTTTTTTATTATTTTAAATTGGTGCACAAATAGAAATCTATTAGTCCTTGTTATTTTAATTACAACATATCTATCCATTTTCAATTTCAATTGTATTATTAATATAAAAGATTCACGATTTATCGTGTTTCATTTTGTGAAATTACTCTGTGAATTTAATTTTACTATTTTTAATTTTGAGTTAATTTGGGGTGGGCTGGCTATGGTGGACTTTTCATAGAAGTGAGATGGAGACTGGTGGTTTCATTGGCCAAGCACACACCCTCCTCCACCACATCATTAAGGAGAAAGGATACAAAGAGGTCTAAAATATTGAGACAAACTCAGCTAAATGCAATTAAGTTTGATCTTTCTTGAGAGACCTGAAGTGTAGGACCACCCTCTCTCAGGAAAATTGACTGAAAATTGCAGATGTAACTCCTAATAAAAGCAATTTAACTGAAGCACTCAATATATTCTTTGGATGGACAATCAATATTATGCACTCAATTTTAAAAACAAGGCCTAGTGAAATAAGTCAAAATTTTGCGGCACGTGAATCTTAAGACATGATAATAAAAAGATTTGAGAACAGAAAAATCTCAAGACAGTAAAAACCTCTCTCCAACCGAAATTAGGCCGACTAACATGCCCAGCTGTAGTGTGGCTTTTTTGAGCCATCACTTCAATAAAAAGAGTAATGGTGTTTGTTGCAGCATGGAGATGGATGGCATTCATTTTGAGTGGCCCTTTCATGTGTTGTCTTAGCTATCTTTATGGATAACCATGCCACACCACCCCCACCCTGTTTCCTCATTTTGTTTTCTCACTTTTTAGCACAAAAACCATAATTGCATGCCAATAATACCCATATCTCTCTTCCACATCCATTTTTTCAAGCTATCTAGCTCTACCAAACATACACAAACTTCTCTCCTCCATTGCAGATCAAGATGAAGAATAAAATCAGCCAATCATTAGCCGCAACGCAACTAGTCTCTTCTTCTCATCTTGTACCATAATTTCTCCACCACTATAATTGACAAAACTCTTTTTTTTTTTCTTTTTCTTTTTTTGGTGCTGAAGGTCTTCAATGGCTGCGAGAATGGCATCAAAGCTTCTGTGTGTGACTTTCTGTTTCTGTTTCTGTGTTGTGTTGGTGGGTGAGAGAATTGTTCCGTGCCAATTTGGCTTCAAGATGAGTCTTCAGCTTGATTTTCTATTTGTACCTAATGATTATAAAAAAATAATAACCAGTCGCAAAATTTGAAAACACTCTCCCCTAACTTATTATAATCAATTTTTTCAACTTCATTATTCTATTTCTATGGCATAAGAGATAAGATGTAGTAATTGACCTGAAACATAATTCCAAAAATGTTTGGCATGGTTTCTTCATAAAAAAATTAATTTGTGAAAAGACGATTTCACATGATTGGCTTTAAATCGATAAAAATGCTTGCTTAACAAAGCCACCTGATGTAAAATATGGCCACACGCTGACAAGAAGTTTGAAAACCAACCCAAAAAAAAAGAGTTACCGGGGGGTCCTTTGGTCTGAACTTAATACCTATGACATCTAGTTCCAAAATAATTTAGCCCATCTTCCCATTTTACCCCTGATAATCCATATGTTTGACTTCTATACTTTGTGCACATGTCACTGCCATGACCCACCATCGCCCCTTCCAGTCATTGTCAATCATTTCCGATTACTGGCGATAACTTTTGGTGACCTCTGAAGATCACCGCCGGCAACCTTCACTATTGCCACTATTCTCTGACCCCTGACAATATTTTTTTTATTCATTTTTCATCTCAAGTATGCCACTACTACCACCACCTCCTCCACAGATCTAGTGGCAACAAAAGAAAATGAGAAGAAAAATGATGAAGAGAATGAAGGAGAGAGGCGAAAAGCCATTACCAGAAATAGTTCTCATTATTTTTCACATTCATAGATCAAGACAAAGAATCAAAAATCAGATTCAGTAAAAGGGATGACAACAGGTCAGGGCGAGATCAGGGATCACACTCCCCATCTCCGATCCTTGATGGTGAAAATTCCCTTGTCCCCAGCCTCGATCCCTAACGAGGAACCTATCACCGTCCTTGCCCCCACCCCCTAACGGAGATCGGGTTTCCCCGATCCTTAATATTCCCTGTCCCAAAAAAATAAAATAAATAAATAAACAGAGATCTTCTCCATAGATTGCATCACAAACATCCAGATCTGTCCAAAATTTTTTTTATCACCACAATCTCTCTCTCAAATAGTTCTTCACATTGTTTTGTTCACAGCATCTGTGCATGTGCTTTTGATTATTTGTATATACATGTATATGTAGAGAGAGAGAGAGAAAGTTGTAGCGAGCGAATCGATCAAGCTAATTCTTGCCTTAATCTTCCAAATCGAGATCGAGATCTGTAAACCCTAACTCTCTTCGGCAGAATGTATGGAATGATGGTGGCAATGGACTGATCTGTGGCAACTGAAGAGAGAGACACGTTTGGAGATCTTGAGATCATCGGAGATCTAATACCAACAGATCTGAGATACACGACAGCACCGATTTGAGATAGACGAAAGCGCAGTGTCGAAGCAGACGTTGGAGACAAAGACCGAGGCAGGAAGGTGGTGATGAAACCCATCTGTGGGTGATGAAGAAGTGAAACGATGATCGCACTAGTGAAAGAGAATGAAACGGGTGTAAAGAGAGAGAGAGAGAAAGAGAGAGAGAGAGAGATATATTTGAGATCTGTGATGTGAGAGAAGTGAAGTCAATGTGTGTGTGAGGAAAAACACTAAACATATATATATATATATATGTGTGTGTGTGTGTGTGTGTGTGTGTAAATACAGGGATGTTCGGGGATAATTCGGGATGAGAGTAGGGCTGAGGGAACATATCACCCTCCCCGGCCCAAAAACAGTTGGGGATCCATTTTTCAATACCAGCCTCAGTCCTATGAGAGGTAATTTTCGGGAAAAACCTGGCTTATTAGAGAGGGGCGGTCCGGGTCCTTGTCGGGCTGGGTTCAAATTGCCATTCCTATTCAGTAATAAATTTATCGTTGTTTGTTTGTAAAAAAATTATAGAAGGAAAATCAAGCAATTACCATTACAAACCAATACAATAATCAGAGATACATTCAGTGATAAATTTATCACTGACTGTTTGCAAAAATAAAAATACAGAAGGAAAATTTAATCATCACCATTACAAATGATAAATTTATTGCTGCTAATTTATTAAGTTTAATATAAAAACAAACATATTCAATAATAAATTTATTGATAAATGTATCACTGTTTAGTTTATCAAGTTTTATACAAAAACAAACATATTCAACAAATTTACTGATAAATTTATCACTGGTTTAAACAAGATAAGAGCTCTAATCAGCATTGAAAATACCTAGATGAACTCATCACCATTTTGATCTAACACCCTGAACACCTCTCTCATGTCTTTTTTCCGTCTTGCTCGTCCATTATTAACTGGTACAATGCTCTGAACTCGTCAATGTCGACACACCCATCTCTATTCATGTCGATTTTTCTTGATCTCTCTCAGATCTAACACCATCTTTCTCAAATCCAAGGGCCACAGAGGCAGCTCTTATGTTCACCAACACTAACGAACAACCGTTCAATTGCCAAATCTTCATCACAAACTTCCTCACCGCCGTCGACACCGTAACCCCTTCATCTCCGGCTAACATTATAGTGGCGTAATCAATGGCTCTTGCAACACAACAGTGCATGAAATACCTTCTCACACTGATTACGATTTCTATATCCAAATCGTTCGTTGCCTCATTTTCAAAACCCAGATCCTTCCGGGAAGGGGAAGAGATAGAGATAGAGAGAGAGAGAGAGAGAGAGAGAGAGAGAGAAAATTAAATAGAACCACATAATTCAAACCAAACGCGCGAGTATAACAATAGGGATAAAATCGAGATAAAAAAATACAACAGGACTTCTTGGTATATGAGATAGAAACTTAAGATCTAATGGGTAATAGATTCAATTATTAGGACCGACTGGTAAAAAAACCTCCTTCCAAAAAAAAAAAAATCTTAACAATTACCAAATATATTAACTTTTTAAATTATAAAAAAAAACTATAATTTTTTTTTTATTTTTAAACCCCACCTTAATTTTTTTAAACTATAAAAAAAATTTGGAAAACACTAGTTGTGCAATTTGAAAAAAACTTTTATTTTTTATTTTTTTTTCCGT